TTTTCTGTGATTGGCTTAACAAAGAAGTTCTTAGGTGGGATTAATTTTGGGGCATTTTCAGACTGAAGACCCCTGATGAAACAAGTGGAGTATTTATGTACCTGATGGTAAAAATGAAAGAAAGAATAAGGGCCTCAATTTGCATAATGCGATTCAATGAATGAACAAATTACAAGATTTGATTTGAGTTGGGTGTATGCAAGTAAACTGAGCAAGTCTAGCAACTTTTCATGCTCTTTAAAGCATTTTTCTTTGAGTGCTTGTTTATTTTGCATATGCTAACATGCATGTTTGATTTACATTCTGTAAATCAGCATCGCAATACCGTTTTTGTCAAAACACATTTCTAATTAATTACTTCTGTTGTTGTATGCAGAAGTGAATAAGACAAAAACAGAAGAACGTTACATGTCAGTCACAGTTTGATACCCAACTAGTTTTCAGAAGATTGAAATGCCAGATTTTTGTGATATTTTTATGTTTCTAAACTGTCCAACCTTTAATTTGCAACTCAAAACAAATTATCTCTCAGGAAGAGCATTAAAATAAAAGCAAACAAAAAATGTTGCAGTGTACCTGGTTGCAGACTAATTAAAACTAATGTTTTGTTGGAATGTCTTTAGAATGAATTCAAATCTGCGTTGGAAAGGTTCTCCTTCATTTCTTTCATGCCAGCCTAATTAAAGAACTTAAACATGGGTTAGGCAGATATTAAAGCTGGTGCATCATAATAGTATTGCTTTGGAGAGCGGAGCTTTAGTTTATTTCGATTTGCATTATTTTACAGAGTCTTTTCACCAAAACAGACCCTTTCTTTCTCTGTATAAATAGTGACTTTCTATATATTCTTTGCCACTTCATCAAGGGACCTTGCTGTTTTGTTTTTTTTGTTGTTGTGTTTTTTCAAGTCAGTCTTTGTTTTAAAAATGGCAGGCATCACCTTAAACTCTCATGCTACCAGAAATAAGTTGCTCTGGTAAATCTCTGCACTTGCCTTTGTGTAAAAAGCAAATTTGACAGAAATCTTTACGGTAACAATTGATTGTAGCATCAAAACACGTGGTGATTTTTGCAGCTGAGAAGTAAGTAATCAGCAGATTGATATCAAAGACCCTCAGTAGCTGCAGCTTCGCCTGCACTGCATCTCGCCTCCTCCCTGCTGCTTTATGGTACATTTGTGTGAGCGTGTCTTTTCCCTTTGCATTAAAACCATTTCCCCTGGTGGACCTTTTTGGACAATAAAAATAAAGATCGTTTCAGCAAACGATGCCAGTCTGCAGAGTCTCATTCGCTGGAGGCAGGATGCTATTGCATCACCTCCTCTGATGGTGGTGACTTGCGTGATTTCTGAGCAGAGTGCTTATCTGAGTTGTACATTATTTATGGTGGGGTTTGCGTGGCTGAATGCTGGCTGCAGCACCAGGACGTGGAGGAGAGGAAGCTGCAGAAATTATCCATGGATGTTGCTCAGCAGTAGCCCTTTGAAGCCTGGCTGTCCTATTAGGAGAATACAAAAAGAGAAACTCCCAACAGAGAACACGGAAGTTGCTCATTACATTTGTGTACAGCTGCTCTGACAAAAAGAGCTTGAAAATGCTAAGAAAGTGGGTCAGGAATCAGGGAAGATGTAGGTTTTGTTAGACATGTAATTGAGGAGTGTGTTATGCTTTTGTAAAATGAGGTTAGCATGGTGTGTTGATAGAGGAAAGTGGGGCTCAAAAATGGGTCATAGCTGCATTAAACACCAGTTTTTTTTTCTTTTTTTCATGGCTCAGAATGTGAAAACATGGTGGACATCAGCTGGACAGTTACAGTAGGCGTGATGCTGTGGAACCAAGAAGTGACATTTCAGAAGTCACGCCTTCTGTCATTTAAAGGTTACTCTGAGCAAACTAAAAGAAAACTGATTGTTTTAGTCTTATTAAGCATGCCACAACATTTTAGAGAAATACTCTGCTGTGTTGTAGTTTATGCTTGTATCTGAAATAAGATGAAAGAATAGAATGAGGAAAGATGAAGAGAGTTGTGATTTTGAGAGAGAAGAAAAGTCGAAGGACCTAAAAGAACCTCCCTGAAACTACAATCAGTTTATTTTTAGTACAGTCTGACCTGGAATCAGTTTTCCTCTAGTAATTAGCTCAGAGGTAAATGTGATTTTTTTATTTTATTTTATTGCATATATCTTTGCATTTCTGGTATCAGCTTTAGTTTTGTTGTCATATAGTAACGAGGTTACACTGCTTTTCGTTAACGACAGATAACTGGAGGGGTTTTGCTTGCCAAAACTGAAGATCACAGTGAAAACAAGTTTTAAAAGTGCAACTGAGAAAGTGCAGGGGGAATAGAGGAGGCAGACTTGAAGAGCAGCACGTATGAACTCCGTCCTTTGAAAAAGCTGCAGTCCCCTAGCCCTCGTGGTTTTTCTGTGCTCTGCAGCGGTTCCAGAGCTGCACCCAGTTAACCACACTTAACTATGATGGCAGAGTAAATTAATATTTGATATCAAGCTTTGTATGATGGAGAGGCAGACAGGCCAACAGGATAGCTGACACATGTAGACGATGACATGCTGCATAGCTGCCATAACTTAAAAACTAAATTCAAAAAGCAAAGGCACAGGTTAAGGAAGTTGTCAAATACTTAATGGACTGGGGCTGACTAAATTATATCTTTAATTTATGTCTTCAATTTTCAATTGTCTCTGAATTGTTTTGAATTTTTCTTACTTTGTAGTTTTGTTAATTTGCATTCCTTAGTTTCTTCTTCTTTGATTATATCAGCCTTGTTTCTGTTCAGTCTGGTTATTTTAGTTTATGTTTATTATTTAGTGTCATTTAGAATTTATTTAAGAGTTTAAAGTTTTGTGTCTCCTCCTCCCTCACACCTGCAACCCGTTAGCTAATCAGCCCCAGTCTGTTGTTGCATCATTCACTCTCCTAGCATTTATACACCTCCTACTCTCACTCCTTGCTGGAGTCTCATTTTCTACCCTGTTGCTCTCTGTGATCTCCTGGTTTGTAAGTTCTTATTGAAGTTTTTCATTAAACCTTCACCTCCTACCTGCTGCTTCATTTTCCACCTTCACTGCAAACATGACAGTCATTACTTTGAAATCAGAAAACAGAAGACGTGTATATTTTTTTCTGAATTTTCTTAAAAATGTTTAACATAATTGAAGAGTACAAAACAACAGATCCATTAATCAATAGAGCTATATAAAGTAGAAATAAATTATCAATGAAAAACAAATAGAAAGTTAAACAAAAAGAGGTTAAAAAATCTATGAAAATATGATATGGAACAGTAAAGAGTTAAAATTATTGCCAAATATAGTCATAATTTATTTTTAAATTTTAATCTGTTATCACAACAATTACTTTAGACTTTGCAATTTTGGGAAATAATTATTAGTTTAAATATAAAAATTACAGCATTTGGCTACACATTACTTCAGCGCTGTTGCACACAGGCTCGTTGTGAATCCCTTTTCAATATTAACTACTTTCAAGTCCCTCCTGCTGCATCTTTGTTTTCTGCATTGCTGTTTTTTTTGGGGGGGGGGCAAGGTGAGAAACTACTTTACCAGCCATAAAATGTAAATAGCTTTAAGCTATAATGTACTCTGTACTGCTTTTGAGGCATTGTAAAAATGGTGAAGGGTCGAGGATTCTTCTTAGAAAGAATAATCTTCTTAGAAAGATTCAGCTCAGTCCGCTAGGAAAGTTCAGCGCAGCAGATGGCAAGTTAATGAAATAACGTAACTTGCCATCAGCTGATGTTGCATGAAGGGATCAGACATTAAGTAATGTTTCCTGATCAGGCCGAGGCAGACAGGAGGAGACAATGGAGCAATCCTACTGCAGCTTAGACCGACTGTGAGGGATGCATGATCATAAAAATAGATATTTTAAAAGTCTACATTTGAAAATGCATATGAAAAAGCTGAAACATGGAAGTTTTCAATGTTCTTTGTTACAATTTGGAAAGAGTGTGAAACTAATACAGCAGGTAAAAGATCAATACCTGACAGTCTATAGGTCAATGGAAAAGTGTATTGATTTTGGTTTATATATTCAGCTAGAGAAAACTTCTCCTGCTGATCAGAAGAGAGATGAACCCTGGGACTTAATGAAAGAGGCAACACTTTCAGAGGCTGAAGCAGCAGCCATTCCACATTTTTAATTATTTATCCTTCAATACGAAAAAAAAAAAAAAACACAAATCTATTTTTGACTACGGTGGGAAGCTTTAAAGAAAACTGAAGCTACAAGAAAATGTGGTCAAGTTTTACTGTACACTGCATCTGGAAAGTAATTAAAGCCTTTTTCAGATTTTTTAAACTAATTTCTTTCCTCAATGTCACAAGCAAATACTGAGAACGAAGGTTTTTGTAGTTATGTCAACTACCAAGACCACTAGACCATTGTATGCATTTCCAAATTAAGTCTAATCAAATGACTTTACAGCAAATGGACTCCATTAAAGCCGTAGAAACATTTAAAGGACGATCAGTGAAAACTGTTCAAATTTGAACTTCATTGAATATGTAAATGTGATTTTTTTGGTTTTCTGTTTTGAATAAATTTGATAAACATTCAAAAACCTTTCTCCACATTGTCTTAGTTGGGTATTTGTGTGTAGAATTTTGAGGACAGAGATTAATTCAATACAATTTGGAATAAGGCTGTAGCATAACAAATTGGGGAAAAAGAGAAGCACTGCAAATACTTTCCATATGTACTATATATTTGCATAACTTCTTGGGAATTAACTGCTATATATCTTAACATGAAACTGATTATTCAGTTTTAATGCACTGGAATACATTTCATATAAAAATGAAGGTAGAAAAGTTATAAATGGGGGCACGCGAATACAAAAAACTGGCAAGGAATTCTTAAAATGTGCCAATCTGTCATAAAACTAACAACTATTAGATCTGTAAGATCTTCTTTCTCCAGACAATTTAAAAGCGATTTTGTTTTCCGTTTCTCCTGCAGATGATGGGAAGCTGTCTCTGGATGAGTTCCAGGCTTTCTTCTCTGATGGCACGTTGAACGAGGAGGAGCTGGAGAAACTGTTTCACACCATCGACTCTGATAACACCAGGTTAGCGTGCATACATGAACATGAAGCACGCACGGCTGCATGAAGTTATGCCACATACAGAACATTTAGAAATATGTGCATGTTTGTGTGCTCACTGCACCATGACTTTGCGTGTTGACAACAAATTACAGGCAGATTTGAAACCAAAGGGTATGTGCACAAAGTTGTTTTTCTGCTCTGCAGCTTCAGTTTGCCAATTGAGTTGCATGTTTAGGCAAGTGGGTGAGGGTAAGGATGTGGAGTAAAATGTAAAAGATTTAAAATAAAAAAAATAAAAAAACAACTTGAAATAATCTGTACAGCATTCTAGTTAGAAAGATACTGAATATGTCTTAAGACCTGTGAACAAATTCAAACCAGGTTTCATGTGGTGCAAAAATGAACATTTAGAAATTTTCTGAGGTTATTTGGCTGGAAAAAAACATGACTAAATGAGCAATGCTCAGTCGCACGTTTGTTAATCAGTTTTAGGATTACAAGTCTAAAACTGGAACACATTGAGCTGCTAAACCACATGGGTTGGTCTGCACAGCTTCCATTATTTTTAATGAAAGTATCATTTTCTTTTAATCAAACACATTAAACTCACTTTCATCATAACATCAAAGACCCAGCTTGTCAGCACAGCATTTACTTGTGTGTTAAAAGGTGCAACTAACATCTTGCTTCGTTTAGTCCAAAAGGATGCTTTAATTATTATAGACAGTTTTGGCAGTTTGTTGCTCTAGCACTAGCAGTGTGTATTGACACAATATTGAGGTGTGAAGACATCAGTATGTTGCTGCCAATAAATCTGGAGAGGTTTATAAGGCCTTTTTCACATGTGAAAACTAGTTAAGACCCTCTGCCCAACATACCGCACAATGCTCAAAGAAATTGGAGTAAAGCCCACAAGTTTTATGTTGGACTCAACAGGGCTTTGTGAGCCTGTCGGATGTTAAAGTTCGTTACTGGAAAATTAGAAAAAGTAAAGTATGACTTTTTCGGAAGAGTTTGAGGCACAACGAGTTTGGTTTGCAAAGCTGTGTTAGAGTGAATAACAAAAGTTCTGGAGCAATGGCATAGCTTATCATATACTAAGCTATATAATAATCAAAGTAGTTATTTTTGGTAAATGTGATGTTTAGTTAAAATAAGAGATAATATTGAAACAAACATTACAGTTCAGCTTTAAGTCACAGTGGTGTGTTCCTCTAGTCTCTTATCAGATATTGAAACTTGGGTCAAACTTGGTCATTTACAGGATGATTATCCCTAACACAGCACCAAGTAGACAACAAAAAGCCTAAGAAAAGACCCAATGTGTTGCAATGGCTCAAAGCCCACATCTCAGCCTGTTTGAGCCAGGTTTTGGTTCTGCTGGAGGTTTCTTCCTGTTAAAGGGAAGTTTTTCCTCTCCACTGTCGCTAGATGCTTACTCAATATGAAGGACTGCTGTAAAGTCGATGACAAAACGCAAGCGATTGTTTACTGTCACTACATGCTCATCCAGGAGGAGTGAATGCTGCAAGTCAATAACTCGATGCAATCCGCTGGATTTTAACTGATCTGAATAACAATCAGTACAGCGTAGGAGAAATCTTAGAGTTGAAATGTGAACGCAAAGGTTCAATCAACCTTTGCATTTTGGAGCCCGTCGTATGTACAATGCATTTGCTTACATCTGCTGAAATTCTAAGACCCTCTTGTATTTTATAGTTTTCATATGTTGAGTTGTAAAAACCTCAGCGATCCAGTCTCCTCCTCGCCTTTCTTTTCTCATTCTGTCTTCTTTGCCTTCATTATTCCATCCTCCAACACATTAACCTCCCTTGTACATTTTTTGATTTAATTGACTCTCATTAAATCAGTTCATTGACCCTTTATAATCAGCTCATCCATCCTCCAGTCAGGAGAGGTGTGCTGACACAGTGAGATCTGAATAATCAGAAACCTGACTGTTAATTTACACGAGCTCAAGATCCTGCAGAGCTTTGAATAAAATGAAACCAAGCAGAACAAAAGCTGACCTGTTAGCATTGTTGGAGGGCTGAAGCCGGTCCCCGTTTATAAATCCTCCTGCAGGCTTGGCCTTCTGACAGATCTTATCCATCTTTAAATCTGTGCAGTAAGTGGACCATGTGATTGCTGCCATCACCTATGGATGTTGGTCATCCAGCCTCTTGGAGATGGTCTCACTTCATAAGCCTTCTCGCCACAGTGGATGCAGGGCCGAGAAGTTCGAAAGTAACGTCATGTAGCTACAGATAAGGTTATTGATTGAGCTGAGTGGAAGCAGAAGCCAGGATTTTGTTTCCTGTTTGAAGCAGGAAGTTGATGGATGGAGGAAGAGGGACGAAGCAGGCAGAGACTGAGCGATACTCGCACCACACTCGTTTTCCTCCCACCACCCTTCAACTTGATCACCTTTTCAATCCATTCTCAGAGCTTCCTGTCTCTGTTTCTGTCATCCTTTTGGAGCTTTCATTCTGCTGTCACTCTGTCCGACACTGCGTTCCCCGTATTATCCTCCTCCTCCTCTTCTCCATGTGTCACTCACTCCTGCCTCCAGTCCTTTCTGCCCTCAGATCTTCATTGCACATCAGTCAGTCTGCACATGGTGACGATTTTATGTTAGAAATCTCAGGTAAGTTAGTTTTGGGTCACCAAAGTTTTCTTGTAAATGCCACTGGATGATTCTGCTATTTGTCTGAAATAATTAAATTTTTTCAACATTGGTTCTGTTTTCTGTGTCTGTATTTTATTTTTTACATTAAAGGAGCCCTGAAAAAGTTGGCATCACATTAGAACTTGACAAATAATTTAAGACTTTTCTGAAAATCTTAACGGCTAAAATGTAAGGCCTATTTAAAGTCTGTGACTGCTGCTATAAGAATAAACTGAAAGAAGATAAAAGGCAGCCTTCTGATATTCTGATGCTGATCCGAAGTTTTAATACTTTTGCAGTGCAGTAATTTACAGATCGTTTTTCTGTTTTTGATCAATGAAAAGTGAAATTAAATCGGTTCTTTCTGGTCATCAGCAGCTAGCTGGGCCTAGCAATGACCCCTTAAAGAAACTTTGTCATGATGCTTACATCTTTTTTTAAAAAGCCAAGTTTAATTCTCCTGTTGACTTCACTGTGATCGGCTCAGATGAGATCAATCCAAGGATCTCGCCAAACCACATAGTCAATTACAGTGGTAATGGCTGTGCAAAAAAGATTTATCTTTTACAGTATGAACTACGAGAAAATGTGAAACTCTCAATTTCAATAATAATTTAACCTTTTCAAGGAGTGTAAAAATTGCATTTTGTGCTCTCTGGAGTGACCTGTCCACCCTGCCTCTGTCCTGCTGACCTCTGGAGGTAGGCACCAGCGCCCCTGGGAACCCCACCAGGGATGACCGTGTAGGATTATTGATGAATGGATGAATTGATGAATGGCTCTCTGGATTTTATATTGATGTGGAAGTTTGCAGCTCGTTCAGCCCAAATTTAAATGGAGATATTCAGGACAAAGACACCAATCCTTATGCGAGATGATTTGCCACACAATCCTCCTCCTGTCACTCGGAGAAATTCTAGTTTGCAGCAGCAAAACATTTACAGCCAAGTCAGGTTCCACCCATTGAGCTGAGTTATGACTGTATATCTCAGACTACCATCAGGACATTCTTGAATTTTCTCTCCTTCCATTCCTACTCTTTATTTTCTATAGATATATGCAAGACTGCATGATAAAAACCTGTCCTTTGTTTCTGACCCTGCTCCTCTTTATCCTTTCCTTTCTTCCCATTTTCCTCACCTTCCAAAGTAATGTAGACACGAAGGAACTCTGTGGTAAGTAATCTGCATATTCTCATATTTCAAATGTTTCATTTAAAATTCATTCTTAAAATTGCCCCTGATGAGTGGTTAGTGTGTCCCTCTAAATGCTTTGTAAATGTTTGTATGTGCAAAACAGACTACTTTGCCAAGCACATGGGAGACTATGAAGGAGTTCTGGCCTCACTGGAAACGCTGAACCTTTCCATCCTCAGAGCAATGGATTTCACCAAAAGGGTAGGAATGAGGAATGACTGGAATCTGTTTATCTGAGGGTTGATATTTTCCACATGAACTCCTTATGACACAGTTTCACAGTATACTCTCTCTACCTCCTAAAACCTTTTATATATCATCAAACCATTAAATGGTACAGGTAAAAATTAGCTCATAGTGAGGCAGTTTTTCACGATATGCATATTGCACTAACGGTAAATTTGCAATATATTGTGCAGGCCTAGCAAAGATTTGAAATCTGGATGTTTTTGTAGTAGATTAGTTGGAAATTTAAAATGTTTATCTTGGACATATATTGATTTAATATGCTCATTTAATATAGTTTTATTTTGTGATGTGAAAAAAATGCAACTCTAATCTTACTCTTTATATTCATCTAGCCTTGTGCTTGTGATGTTTCAAATACTGATTTTATTTTTGCTTCTGAATTTCTAACACAATTTGCGCAAAGCACAAAACATGTGCACACCACATTTGTGAAAATTATGATTTGAAATTGTTGCACAAACGTGTCACGCAGGGATAATGGGCAATTTAAGATGCAAGCTTGCAGTCGACCTTTGAGCAGAATTGTCTTTGTTGTCTTTACTTTTAAACACAATGTTCTCTCTGTTACTTTGAGTCCAACTGCAGATATTTCAAATGCCTCCAGCAGAAACTAACATTTCCCTCTGCATCTAATAAACTCGAGTCCGTGACAACCTTTGCCTGGCTGAGCAGAAGCGACGCGTCCATAGGCGGCTCCAACGACATACGGCGTAATGCATACAGAGCGCGTTCCCACAGTGTGAAAGTAACGATGTGTGTTTTCTGGCTGGAATCTAATTCTCTCGTTGTTCAAGCTGCTGTAGAAATAATGGCACGTCAAGTTTCTGCTGCAGTGGTTTAGCTTGTGAGTAGCAGCTGGAGAGCAGCAATGTGCCATCCCAGTGTTCCCCCAATAAGCTAAATATAGCAGCTGCTCCACAGCCACACCTCCTTCATTCACATGTGGAGTATTTGTGTGCATATCTTTATCCTGCAGCTCTGTCTTTATCTGTCTTTTAGCTGCAGGCCACTCAGCAGCACTCAGACGCACTACGGCGGACACACTGATCCTTTCACACACAGCCCTCACCTAGTTTCTCTCTAATGAACACCCTTTGTTTAATCTATCAGTCCAGTGTCTGTCTTGTTCTTCTACTGTATCACTCATGCTCTTTTCTTTTCTTCTTCTGAAGCTCATTCGTACTATGCATCCCTCAATCTCCTTCTCGTACCCAGAGTCTCATTATGGGCATGTTAGTGAATTGCAGATGAGGCTTCTTGTTTTCCCCACAGCCACATCATTGCGTCATATTTGTCATTCCTGCCAGTAAATGATTGATTTTGTTTTGGTGCATTCTGTAATGGAGGAACTGCAGATGGTTTATCTGCACACATTGGAGTTTTCCTCCTTGACCAGCTAGACTGGTCATATTACCAAAACCTTCTTTGAGTCTTTATTTGTTAGGGCTCATTATGTTCTCCACTCATATTTAATGAATGAAATTAACATAAAGAATTTATACCTGCTGATTTGAGCAAGATCCAATGCCAATTGGCCAGAGTTAAGTCGTGACGATGCGTTCAAACAGACTGGAAAGTGCCTTAATGGATTAACGATACCATTTTTTAATGCATTTCTCTTGGCCTGCCTTCTAAATGACTCACCAGCCTAAAATAAACAGTCGGAAGATTTAGAAGTAATGGATTCAGGTTTTCTCCCTCTTGCTTTAACTTTACATCGGTGCAGCAGCACATGCTTTCAGTTGAACTCAGTTGAGCAGAGAAAGGTCTGAAACTTGGACACTGGCTGTGAGGGAGATGAATTTACAGCTTCTCGTTCAGGTTGTCATTAGCCAAGCTCCAGACCTTGTCTAAGCCAGGACTTCAGTCTGGTTCAGCAAATTCTTAGTTTTAGCTTGGCATAATAATTTTTTTTTTATTTTATTGAGGGGTGTATTTTCTATCCTCTCAACCACCAGACGGTTGAGGCAGATGGTCGTCCATTTGACGAAAATATTTCAGGCAATCTGTTGGTTTTCTTAAATAACTTTTACTTATTTTCTTTTTATGATCCACTGAAACTGTGTGCTTGGGGATTGCTTTATGGGGTCAACTTTTTACCTCAGGCCAGCAAATATAGAAAGGGTGCTCTGTTCACATGAGTCTGAACTTACTGCCCAAATAGAAAAGCACAAGCTTGGTAAAAAAAACAAACAAAAAAAAACAGCCCCTTGTTCTGTAAGCAGAGGGTCTGAACCCTCACAGTTGTAATTTGTGACAGGACTGACATTATTTTTTTTTTCTCTTAGCTTGATGCTCTGTCAGTAAATTGAAATACATTTTCAGTGCTGCAGTCTGTTAATGTGAACTCGGTAAACACAGAACACTATAAAAACTGATCTATTAGTTTGCCCTTTGAGCTTTAATTCACACTATGGTTCTTCTTTGTAAACAAATGGAAAGGCACCTTGTTTACTGAAGAATTTCCAGTAAAAACTACATTTTTCTTGTTTTAAACTCATGCTAATTATTTTTTTTTTAATGTGTCCTGCTGCCCTGAAAGCAGCACAGCTTCATCATCATGGAGGTTTTAGAATAAGGAAATTGCCATTTAACTTGTTCACTTCAGATTTCAGTGGTTTTCTTATTGTAGGTGTTATGAAAAAGTTCAAGTACCTAAATAATTACTGAACAACAGAGCAAAGAGCGACGTATTCACCTTCTGCACTTTGCCAAGCGACGCAGCTTAAATGCCCCTTTTTTTTTTTTTTTTTTTTTTTTTTTTTTTCTTTTTCTATACTATTTCCCCCTTTTTTTTTTAAAAAAAAAAAAAATTTTTTTTCTTTCAC